CACTTTTCCTTGTTTTGTCACAAGCTGGAAATTACTCACTTTCTTACTTTCTATAGTTTTAAAACTTTATCTTTATTGAAAATGTTATAAAAATGTTCATATTTTACTATTTTTCTAAATTTATATTTTTATATACATTTTGGTCATTGATTTTCATATTTTTCACATTTTCATAATTTTCTAAAAATTATCTGCATTTTCGGAATGTTCTATTTTTTTGGAACTTTCTAAATTTTCTAAATTTTATATATATATGTATATATATATTTCTGAATATTGCGATTTTTTTCGAATTATCTAAATTTCCTAAATTCTCTGGATTTTCTGAAATTTTTGAATTTTCTGAATTTCAGAATTTTCATATTTTTTTTGTTTTTTTTAATTGTCTGAATTTCAGAATTTTCATATTTTTTTTTGTTTTTTTTAATTGTCTGAATTTTCTGAATTTTCAAATTTTCTGAATTTTCTGAATTTTCTGAATTTTCTGAATTTTCTGAATTTCCTGAATTTCCTGAATTTCCTGAATTTTCTGAATTTTCTGAATTTTCTGAATTTTCTGGGTTTCTGAATTTTCTGAATTGTTTTCCTTTTAATTTAAATTGTAAATTCTGAATTTTCTGAATTTTCTGGGTTTCTGAATTTTCTGACTTTTCTGAATTTTCTGAATTTTCTGGGTTTCTGAATTTTGTGAATTTTCTGAGTTTTCTGAATTTTCTGAAATTTTTGAATTTTCTGAATTTTCTGAATTTTCTGTTTTTTTCTAAATTTTCTGAATTTTCTGAATCTTCTGAATTTTAGATTTTTTTTAATTTTCTGACTCTTCTGAATTTTTAAAATTTTCTAAATTTTCTGATTTTTTTGTTTTTTCCGACTTTTCAACATTTTCAATATTTTCTTCATTTTCTACATTTTCTCATTTTCAAAATTTTCTGACGTATATACATTAAAAATAATAAATTTGTTACCTTCTGTATGTTTAAGCATTATAAATTTTCTCAGTAAGTTACTTTTCTCCATTTATTTCTATTACAATCTTTTTTTGAGTGGTGTGTATTGTTTCTCAGATTTCTTATTACTCTGAATGTCTCAAACTTAATTTATATATATATATTTGCAATATTTTTATATTTTATAATATTTTTTCTGCATAGTTTCAACTGAGTTGATCTGAAATTTTCTATTAGAATATATCGTAATGTTTGAGAAATTTAAAGAATTTGACTGTCAACAACTTCAAATGCGAATCCCTGGAAAACGTAAAGCTCAAGAAGCTACATTTTTTTTCTGGTGAAATATCATACTGAGTTTTTTTTATTTGTGAAAGAACTGCTTTTCATGAACATTATACTGCTCATATTTTTGCCTGCCCAGGAAGTATACATTACAGGAGGTCATCTTTTCAGAGAAAAAAGGGATACTAACTTTCCAGGAACTACTCCTTACAGGAAACATTATATATTCCAGATAATTTTTTTCGTTATAAAAATTCCAATGCCCTTCCCTTTGAAGCCAAAATTGCTCCGTGGTAATCGACATCCATGTCCATCAATGTTGAAAACTGACAAAAAACATATGTTTACTTATTTTCGCTTCTTTTCCCTTATTTCAACTTATTTTTGAATAATATTCCACTATATTTACTTATATGTTCATTATTATGTTACAAGTTCACCTAAACGATTAGTGGAACTTAAAACAAAAAAATAAAAATAAACAATTTAAACAAGATATTAGCAAGATAATAGCAACTTATAATATACTTATAACTTCATTAAGTGCCTGATGTGAAAATAAATAAATTTAGAAGTCTTAGTTGGGGTGGTTTAAGCGCAACTTTTCGCCAAAAAAAAAGTGTTTGACTTTTTGACTCTGTTTTTCTGACTTGAAACTTGGCGATTCAAACCCCAACCAACGGTGATAGAAAGCGTTCATTTGGAACATCAAACCGGTTTTTGACACTGGGGAGCAGAAAACCTGCAATCAATATGTTAGGATTAGATTTTGCGTCGTCCATGCGCTGGATTTCTTTATCTTGTTTGTTTTTTTTGGGTGGGTTTTTAAAGCTGGATACTGAAAACCCACAAATGGTTGGTTTTCACAAGTAGTATAACTATTATCTTCAGGATGTAATTATGGTTCTCAAACACTTGTGTTGGGCATTGGGCTCGGTTTCGTGGATGTAATAACTTTATGATCTCACTCGTATCTTGGAATTTCCATGCGAAATCCGTTTTTTCCATGCGAAAGCTATGTTGTGCTGATGTAATAAGATACTTTGTTGCCAGCGTTGGTTCTTCAAGGATATGCTTCAAAGCTTTCCGCCCTTCGAAAAATTGGGGGATGTCCTCATTACTTCTCAATGAGAATCCAAAAAGGACTAATTCCAGAAAGAAATTAAGGTTTCTTAATTGTTGTTTGCTTTTGTGCTGTCTACGGCGAGGGGTGATCGCGGACGCGCCTCCGTTTCATTTTTTTTACAAGACTCATGGCGTCCTGCTAGGTGGCAGCAGTCAGGCTCAGTAGTAGAGATGGTTCTCTTGGAGACATCTCGTTGCCCTTTTGCAACCCACAGCTGGAACAGGTTTGGCGAGACCTGCGGGTTATGCTTTATTTTTCTTTGTGCAGAGAAGCACGTTTATGTAGGTACATATCTTTATCATCTATTCCCATATGTATATATATATATATACACATATATTTTAAAAAATATATTTATATATATTTATATATGGGGTCACGTAAAGAACCAACAAAGGATATTCCATATAGAGTCCCCAAGTACTGGAAGTCTCATGGCAGCTGGTGTCGTTGTAAAATCTGGTGGAAAAGCGGCACCCGGCGCAAAGCATAACCCGCAGATCGACATCGCCCCATCCATTAATTGACAATGTATTGACTAAGCCAAAAGCCTGCGGCACCGCAACCTGACGGATTGCAAGGACGTGGAACGACAGGCTCCACAGCGGTGTTGGGCTCGCATAGTTCGCGTCGCGCTTGAGCCTTTGCAGATCTATCCGAATCCGCACCCCCTCCTGCCAAGTTCGGCGCTAAGGAATCTGCATTGGTTGGCCGAAGGATGGCCGTGATCCTCGGGAGCGGCTTGGCTTTGCGTTTCCGGTAACTTTAGAGTTAATTGATGAACCATGTAAAGTTGGACATTTCCGGCCTAGGGTGGTATTGTTTTGCCCTGCCTGCAAAGAAAACCAAAATTGCTGGGAGCGATGCTTGAGGATGCCGGACTGGTACCCAAGCCGTTTGGCTATGGACGAGACCACCCGTTTTGTGAGCAACAGTGATTGGGCATAGACCAGCGACGCAAGCCTTTTCTTTGGAAATTGGTGGCCAAGCGGCCCAAGCTGAACTTTGGATGTCTTGGCGTTGTGACATTGTGTGCATTTTGGATGAGTTGGCTGCTGGTCCTGATTCTGCATGATTCTTTGGTTGGGAGTGTGGTTTTGCCTTCCCAGGAGCTTGGGACTTTCGACGATTTTGGTTCTATGATAGTATAGCGATTCTTGTTGCCAACAAAGATCATCCGAGCACCTTTTGTCATAGCACTTTGACGGCCACGCTGTCACATCGTGACTGGCGGCATTTGAGGGAAACGGTTTTGGAGTCCTCAGGTGTGCCAAGTGGCCCGGACCAAAATCCTGCGGTCAATAGGTTTTACTGACTTCACAATAAGCTCACCGCGGCTGCATATAAATGACTGTTAATACGTAAAACCGTTTCATGCTGAGTTTTAATCACTTTTCTGAACAACGTGCTTGCATTGTTTAAATTCAAATTTCTCAGAGAGTGCAAGTTGAACCCACCAACCACCCACGAACGATTTCACCCGAAATGTCAAACTATAACTGGGGGTTGCCCCGAATGAAACCACCACACGAGCCTCAGAAACAGAATGGGATCTCAAAACTCCATACCATTCCAATGTTATATATTGCACACGGATAATCACCACTTGGCAGTGTTAGCGTGCGCAGAAGTGGGATGGATTTTGTCCCCCAGAGGGGCTGGTATTGAGATACTTGACATCCATTTCTCAAAATGTGATTCCAGGATTTTATCTATCAAATTTTCCCTCGCTGCGGCAGGCATCTGTTTTGCCAGCATTGCACAGCAGACAAATCCACTTGTCGTGGTTTGCCATTGGTGACCCGGGTTATTCTCAATTCGTGGACTTTATGCTGTTGTTGTTCCCATTTTTTGTTGAATTTGTATTTCATACCTCTTTGATTTAAGATATCAATGATTTGGATGGGTTTATTTGTGCCACAATTTGCAGCAAATCTTAGCATTGTTTGGGCGACATCAAACCAAATTCCAAACAGATACCAGCCGTTGCGATCTGCCTCGGCTTGTGCCTAGCTCAGCAGAAACTCTGCCAGCTACGATCGACGTGGCGCCCATCGCAGTACTGCGAAACGGCGGTCACGGACCATGGAAGGAGACTTTCGGCGCAGTCCGAACCTTGGAGAGGTTCAAAAATGGCGAGCAGTCGTCCAGGGTTGTGGTGGAGGTGCTATGCCTTGTAAAACTCTTGCAAAATTATGTAAGATTCTGTAAGATGATCAATTATCATATTTTTAGGTGGATCTTCCATAAAACATTGGTTTTGCACTTACATTTAACAATTGACAGGTATACTTGTGATTTAGATAGAGGTGACCCGTGAATATGATGGAGTTGAAAAGTCCAAAACGGTTTGTATGTCCGGTGTAAAAGAAACGAGACCGTGCACTCTAAATACCACTCACTCGTGCGTTGACTCCTTGAATTAAGGTTATCAAAATTTATCAAACTATACATTTGCAGGTCTCACTTGCAGTCTCTCAAACATCATGTGCTGCAAATGGGTTTGGCCGGAGATAGGGCACGCAAATGTTTTATTATGTTTTATTAGTTGATGGCACTCTAAATGGTGATTTATGGTGATTTAATGTTCCTATTTAACAGGGGTCCCATGGTATCCCCATTCATTCAGACCCATCGCACAGGCAAGCCGCTGTGGCATCCGTGGAAGCGCCTTGGTCACAACAACCTCATGGCAGGGGGGAAGCCTCTCCGAATTAGGCTAAAATGATCTAAAATGTGGATACCGGATACCCTTCAAATCAATCCAAATCATCCAAATGAAAAAATCGAATTCCAATATTTTCCATTATAAAGCCTCCAGCTATGGGGTACCCACATGATAATATGGAACCCCCCCCCCGATTTCGGGGATGTGACATGAGGCGGTGCCGTGTTTGGGAGATGAAGAGGTTCGAGAAAGATGGCAGGAACACATCGAGGACCGCGAAAAAAGGCCATCAGAAAATTCAAAAACCCACGAGATTCAAAATCCCCATAAGAGTGTTTTTTTTATGTTTTTCCTATAGTGTGTTTTATCATGTTCCAACAGGATAAGCATCTTTAGGTCATTTTAGGTCATTAAACATCCATAGACATCAGATTTTCAAACATCCATCAACATCCATAAAGATCAACCAACAAAAATCCATAAACATCAAAAAAAAGATCAACCAACAAAAAACCATAAACAACAATAATCCATTTAAAAAAAAAAGAAAAATCATGAAAAATCCCCAGTTTTCGCAGGACCATCGTCTTTGTTTTTTCCCCGGCCAGCCTCACAGGACTCCCGGGATCCCGAGCGTTCAGCCAAGCGAATCCATTGGCTCATCAGCCGACTACAGATGCGCCTTGGATGCCTTGGCGAGAGGCCGGTTTTTATAGATATTCTATGAATTTATGGCACAATATCTAGAAAATATATGAATAGTTTATATGAATATCGTTGAATATCTAGGACATATATTGATATATGTGTTTTTTTCAATTTAAATTTCTAGAAAATCTATGAATCATTTATATATCTAGGAATATCTAGGACACTTTCTAGATTATCCAATATCTAGAAAATAAATAATATATATATATATATTATATGTGAATTTTCTACATAGATAACTATCGTATGCTACCGTGTTTAGAATCGAAATGAATGATTCAGCGATGGCTGAGGGCAGCTTCTGGGATGGGAAGTGTTGAAGCGGAAGTTGCCGGCTGCCGCTCCATGATTCTCCGAAATGTAAGATGAACATGTGGAGATACGTGGAGATACGTGGAGATATATGATGAGGCCGCATTTTTTTGGGCAACGAAGTGGTTTTGTCACATTGTCACATTGTCACATTGGCCCGGACTCTCGGAGCACGTGGCTTTCAGTTTTCAAACGACAGGATTTTGATTGGGTTTCATGTGGCCCAATGCCATAAAACCCCAGTAACCTCCAATGATCAACCCCGATTGGGAATGGATTAAGATTCTGTGTTGCCACATTAAGTAATAACAAGAGAATGGACAGGAAATCCTGATGTTTCTGTTTCGGGTTGAAAAAAGTACACGACCTATAATTGATCATTGACTGCTTACGAAATGGGCCATGGAATCAGCTAATTGGTCTGTATCTGTTTTATAACCCATATTCCCAGGTAGAATCCATTTACGAAGTAGCTACAGTTATGGCCCGAAATACCAGTTATAAGTATTAACAAAACCCCATTTATAGAATTTATAATCCCATTTATAACCAGTTGTAACTAATAAATGGCCATAACTGTAACTAATGTTAATTCATGTTCGCTCCGCTCATCGATCTCGGAACCCAAGGCAGGGCTACAATCGGCCAGTGGAGACGCAGGTCCACCGACCAGTCCAGCGGAGATGCTGAAACCAATTTTCCACAGAAAACGTTTGAACACATCATCGTTTGGGACTATATATATGATGATATTATGATGTTTTAATGATGACCAATGATGATTAATGATGGGAATTCCTATTGATCTATTAATTCTTATTATCTGTAACATGTGTAAATGATGATTAATGATGTTCTTTTTTGTGGTTGTTCCTTGTTTTGTGGTTAATTTTGAAACATCGAATCAGTTGGGATCGCGTCTGGAGAATGATCACCGAAAGAAGCCCCTGGGCTGATTTGATCACATGTTATCATTTCGCGGTTAAAACTCCAGCGGTTTTACCCACGGCGATACATTGCAGCACATAAGAGTACATTTTATGTTTTGGTTGATTTTGGTTGCATTACATGTTTTTGTTTTGACTCGTTCCTGAAATTGGATGCCCTACAGAAGTTCAAGAACATACCTTGGCAGGCTCCCGTGCAGAGCTCGATGGTCCGGATGCTTAAAATCATGGGGACACCGAAGGGCATTTTCCACATGCAAGGCCTGAAAAAAATGAAAAACAACACATGGAAAACCAGGGGGTTTAGACATGGCAGATCTAGACATATTATGAAATATGTTTTGTTTGAAGCTTAGCCTTTTTTGTGAGGAACCGACTTATTTCAGAAAAAAGAAACACAATGATTATTTGACCACTGAAATATGATGTTTTCTAGCTTGCCATGTCAGATCATCCCGCGGTACTTGTACTAGGCTACTAGGGTTTGCTTGGCAATGTCTCAGAACTAATACTGGAACTACATCCTTCCTGGCTTCCTGGTTTTACTTTGGAAACCCATGTCTATTATATACCCTTTGGTTATGTTACATAGTTATGGAACATGTCCCATAGCTGATTTCTGATGCTTTACCGAACTCAAAAATGGTGATAGCCGCCATACTGGTTTTGAACCAATAAATCGATTGGGGCCGGTCAGGCTGCCTTGTAGCACAATGCCTTTAAGTTTTTAGTCTGCATGTTGTGTGCATATGTATGGAGTTGGAGCCGCCCACGTGCCGCGCGGCGCATGGCTTGACAGACAGACAGACAGGCCATAGCTAAGTTAATTTTGTAGGATCATCCCCAAGGACAATCCAGGGTGCGTGGGGTTGGAGGCCGACTTGCTTGAAATTGCCAAGAGGGAACAGCAGGAGCTGAATGCTGAGGTGCGCTATGGAAGCATTTCAAGAAGGGAATTTTACTGGAGATTTCAGGGATTTGACGTGATTTTTTATTGGGATGCGATGCGGGAATTCAAAGGGGATTTAACGTACAAACTTTATCCTGGTGATTAGTGGGATTCAATGAGGGTTAATGGGTATGTAATAGGAATTAGTGCGGTTGTATGGGAGGTTGCGGGGTTTTCCTGTGGGCTTTTCCTGAGGGGCTCCGATTGTTTATCCAAGATGGGTCAATTTCAATTCGGAAGAAACGAAGGGGAGAAGGGGCAGCCCATCTTTTCGAGAAACACCCGGCAAAATGATCAGTTCGCAGCCAACCTGTGATGAGGAGCACTGAACCAGTCCGTCGTTCTATAGTATATAGTAGACTGTGGATTGCAGGTGGTTGTACATTGTACATTCGGGTATCAATAAATAAATATGTATATTATATACAATGTGAATCCCCCAAGATAGCTAAGTTGGTTTATAACTCCAATAACTATGGTTTATGGTACTTATAACTATAGTTACTGGGGCTTATAAAGCAACTTATAACTGGGGGGCCTCACATTGTAGGTATACATAGGTTCTTGTACTGTTGTGTGGTCGATGATCTAAATGTAGGATTGGGCCTCGCATGGCCTCCTGAACATGTCAGATCTGCGATGAATTTCCGTTTCCAAGGCATGTGGGAAGATCCGTCCAATTAGTACTGGTACTATACCCTTTGGTTATTTAACGTAGCCATGGAGAATCACCATGTGTATGTTCGGCAAATCATCAAACATCCTCTATTCTATGGGTCATGGCTTCCATATAGCTTTGTTAAATGACCAGAGGGTATATACAAATACAAGGAGATGCAAATGAATGAAGTTCAATTTTCAGACATGACCAGGTTTTGAAGCTCGGAGCAAATCTTGAAACATGTTGGATTCCCCCGGCCAATTTCAGTCGGTTCAGGCCAGTGAAGTGGGTGAGAACTTGACGTCCACCACGGCCAGTGCAGTGGGTGAGAACTTGACATCCACTGAGTCTGGGTGTCCAGCGCGGCATTTTCTGAGGGGAATCAAACTTGAGGAGGATTGATGTGTTTCATCAGCAGATATTTGAAGGAAAACGTCAGCGTTTGAGCGTTTAGCTCTTATATGTTTTCTTATCTGCCCGCATGCCAAGCGTAAAATGTTGAAACGGGACCGCATGTGTTTTTTTGATTAACATACCTTTGGCAATGACTAAAACCACCAACCAGTTCAGCGATCGAACGCTGATTCATGACACCCTCAATCCTTGAACCACATTGACCTTATGATAAGCACTTGCATTGTATGAGTGAAATCATGGCTTTTGTTGTCCCTATTGGAATATATTGAAGTTGTATATGTTCCATTTTTCCATTGGTTTCATTACGGGAGGGTGACAGTATCGATGTCATGGACTGCGACATCGCGGACTGCCACTGTGATGTTCCAAGGCAAAACACGCACACAGAAAAGGACAAGGAAGAAGATGTACAGGCAGCGGCTTGCGGCTGGCAGTCCCTCAAAAATTGAATGTTTTGTTCCCAACCTGCCAGGTGAGGGTTGTTAGATTTTATGTCAGTTGCCTCCTCCTCCTTCTCCTCCTCCTCCTCTCCTCCTCCTCCTCGTCCTCCTCGTCGTCCTCGTCGTCCTCGTCGTCCTTGCTCAACTGCGACCCGCGATCCACAGTGTTCTCTGCCGGACCTCAACCACGACCATCCACCCCCAGTGTTCCCTGCCGGACCTCAACCACGACCATCCACGCCCAATGTTCCCTGCCGGACCTCAACCACGACCATCCACGCCCAGTGTTCCCTGCCGGACCTCAAGCACGAACATCCACGCCCAGTTTTCCCTGCCGGACCTCAA